TGCTGGGAAATCATTAATTATGCCAAACACCATCGCCCTCAAATTGAAACTTTCTTTCCTATATCCATCATAAACCTCCACACCGTTCTCCCACAAACTCTTTAAGTCTTCGATTAGAGGTGTCAGGTATACGTCTATGTCATTCCCTGGTTGTTTAGGGCCAGAAATTAACATAGATAACATCATGTACTTACGCTTCATACATAGCCATGGAGGTAGGTTATAAATCATAATAATTACAGGCCAGGTGGAATGTGAGATGCTCTGCAGACCATGCGGATTCATTCCATCAGTCGATAATGCCAAACGAAGGTTTCTAGCTTCTTCTCCAAAATCAGGATAATCATTATCAATTTTCATCCACTGTGGTGAATCTGCCGGATGTCGATACTTCCCATCTACAATTTTATCATCTGCATGTCAAGTCAGGTGTTTTGCATCTGTTTCACTATGAAACATGCGTTTAGGTGTTTTGCCGGATGTTGGTGACAACTTTTTCTTATACCGAGATACACCGTATTTAGGACACTCGTTTAATGATGGATATTCATTTCGAAACAAAATGCAATCATTTGGACAAGCATGTATCTTATCATAGCTCATGCCAATAGAGCATAACATTTTTTAGCTTCATAGGTTCGATTGGGAAGAACATTATCCTCCGGAAGCATCTCTTGAAGTAGGGCTAACAACTCTGTGAAACTTTTATCCGACCATCCATTACCCGCCTTTAAATTGTACAACTTTAATACCGCGGACAATCTTGTGAAAGTAGTGCAACCTTTATACAACGGTTTCTCTGCATCGCTTACCAACCTCTCAAACATCTTGGGACAAGCTTGAAGATCTTCTTCAAGTGCTTCTGCAATCTCTTCGACTCGATCACAATCATATGTATCTCTGCCATTGTCCTTTGAAGCACATGTCGTATTATTCTGGGGTTCAACATTCTCGTTACTTATCTCACCATGTAATGTCCAACATGTGTAACTTCGATCAATTTCATGTCTCATTAAATGAGATTCCAACTGAACGGCGTCAATTCGACGCCCATAACATCAACCTAAGCAAGGACATGTGATCCTACTGGGGTCTTTGGCGTGTTCAACAGCAAACTTAACGAATTTCGATACCCCATTCTCGTACTCTTTAGACAATCGATTGGAAGACATCCATTTTTTATCCATACTAATTGAGTAGTCTAAACTAAACTAAGAAAGTTAAACAAATGCGGAGAATACCTGTAAAGAAATCACTAACTTCTAAGAAAGCTACACAGTAGGATGCTTCGAAACGATCACAACCTTGCTCTTCACAGGTAACCCCTATAACAGACAAAATTAATAATATCATCAGCATTAAATAATTTTTCAACTAACAGTAAATATATGAAATTAACAAATATATGAAATTAACATCAACAACGAAATTAACAAATATGTGAAATTATTCGAGTAAGTTAATTTTTCAACTAACAGTAAATCAACAATATTTAATCCTTTTGGTGTAAAAGAATGCACGACAAATATGATCTTATTTTTGAAAAACTCTTGATTTCTTTCTAAAAAATTATACTAAAATATAAATCATTTTATAATACCAATAAATCATATTATTATTTTTTTCTATTTTATCTATTTTCTCATATTAACTAATAAATCTCATATACATCTCATATTAACTAATTATTTATATCTTCTCTTAACTCGTCAAAAGGGTTACAATATTTGTCTTTAACGCAATAGAGTCCTCAAGGCAAACTCTAAACAACTCTATAATAATTTCCACAACTCAAAATGACTCTAAAGTATTTCAAACTATTCTAAAGTACTCTAAAATGCTCAAAAAACAACTATTTCATATAATACTCATCAAATGTGTCTATGTTCTATAATGCTCAAAATGACTCTAAACTATTCTATTACTTGATGTGATACTCAAAATCAATAAGGTGGCTATGTTCTATAATGCTCAAAATGACTCTAAACGATTCTAAAGTACTCTAAAATGACTCTAAACTACTCTAAACTAAACTATTCTATAATACTCATATAAAACTATTCTAAACTATTCTAAACTATTTTATAATGCTCAAAATGACTCTATAATAATTATCTCCCTAGATTTGATTAATTTGAATAAGGTGGCTATGTTCTATTACTTGATTTGGTGTAGTCTCCATGCATGCATTATTGGCAACTATGACATGGAAAATAAATAAACTTCAAGATTAACAAAAACAAATTCATTGTGCATGGCATTTCAACAAACACCTTGTATACAAAACTCAAACCAATATCAAAAGAGTAATGATCATCAATAGTATCAACAAAAACAAGTCAATAACTCAAACTCAAACCAATATCAAAAGAGTAATGCTCATCAATAGTATCAACAAAAACAAGTCAATAACTCATAAAGAAGTGAAACTAATCCAGAAAAATGCAATACTATTTTTTTAATCCAGAAAAATGTCGTAACAATGGCGGAAATACCGTAACAGTGGAGGCGAAATGTGCTACTTTGTGTGTCGGACGAAGGTGGGCGTCGGTCGGACGGAGGAGTGAAACGGACGGAGGAGGAGAAATGCAAATAGGGTTCTGGTTCGCTGGAGGAGAAAGAAAAACTGAAGAAAGTATACGCGCGATTCTGCTTCTTTTTTAGTTCTTTAAAAAATTCTGGAATATATTTTAACTTAATTCTGTGTTAATTTTAATACCTACAGCAGCGCTTAAAAAGCGCTTTCTTTGAAAACCATATAGCAGTGCTTTTTGAAGGAAAGCGTTTTCTTTGGCACACCCTACAGCAGCGCTTTTTAAAAGCGCTTTCTTAGGTCCCCCTTTAGCAGCGCTTTTTAAAAGCGCTTTCTTAGGTCCCCCTTTAGCAACGCTTTTAAAGGCCTTTAGCAGCGCTTTTAGAAGCGCTTTCTTAGGGTGCTTAGCAATGCCATATAGCAGCGCTTTATAGAAAAAGCACTTTCTTAGGTCCCCCTTTAGGTCCCCCTTTAGCAGCGCTTTCTTAGGGCTCCCCTTTAGCAGCACTTTTTCAAAAGCGCTGTCTTAGGTAGGAAATTTTTTTTCTTTTTTTTTTACCCACCCTTTAGCAGCGCTTTTTTAAGAAGCGCTGCTAAATGGTGCGCTGCTAAATCTCATTTCTGGCGTAGTGTAAGTTCAAGAAAGTGCTGATTAATGAGTTTGAAATGAATGATCTCGGGAAAATGACATATTTTCTAGGGATGGAGTTTATATACTCTGAGAAGGGTATCATTTTGCATCAGCTGAAGTATGAACTTGAGCTTCTGAAGAGATTTAAGCTACAGAATTGTAAGGCTGCTATCACACATGTAAATACAAATCAGAAACTGGATTCTAACTCTGATGGTGATGATGTGGATGCTTCAACCTTCAAATAGTTGGTTGGTTCTCTGAGGTATCTGTGTAATACCAGACCTGATATCTGCTATGTAGTTGGAATGGTTAATAGGTTCATGAGTAAACCTAAGTGGTCCCATTACCAAGCTGCTGTTAGAATTCTGAGGTATATCAAGGGAACTCTGAAGTATGGAGTGTTATTCACTTATGGAAGGAAGATTGAATCAAAACTTTTGAGTTATTTAAATTCAGATTGGTGTGGAGACAGAGTTGAAAGAAAAAGTACTTCTGGGTACTTGTTTAAGTTTCTGGGAGGTCATATTTCTTAGTGTTCCAAGAAACAACCTGTTGTTGTGCTGTTAACTTGTGAAGTTGAATATATCGCAGGCGTTGTGACTGCATGTCAAAGCTGTGTGGATTCTGGACTTACTGCAGGATCTAAAAATCAAAGTTAACAAGCCTCTGAAGCTGATGATTGATAACAAGTCTGCAATCAATCTTGTCAGAAATCCAGTGCTGCATGGAAGAAGCAAGCATATTGAAACTAAGTATCACTTTATGAGAAATCAGGTTCATAATGAAGTTCTAGAAGTTGTGCACTGTAGCACCCAGAAGCAGTTGGCAGATGTTCTGACGAAGGCTATCAAGACCGATCAATTTCTTCGATTAAGGGATAGAAATGGTGTTGTCTGTTTTGGGTAAATATAAATTAAAGGATGATGTTAGAAATAATTTATATTTTACTATTACTTGGAGACTAAGTTTATTAGAAGATATTTTAGTATTTTAGTACTTTAATATGTTGCCTATGTGACCTTAGTTTTCTGTGTATAAATAGACTAGCGGTAGATGTCATTTATTATTCTTCTTTACAATTTTTGTAGCGGTCATTTGCAGTATAAATATATATACATTCTCTCATTCTATTCTTTTTAATTTTGTGCACCAATAATTTTAAATTCGTATTATTTTACATTAAGTTTTTAGGATGCTACATAAGATGGGTCAGAACTGCTATATAAGGAAAAGAGACCAAGAGAAGCATGAATACACAATTTACATCGTAGGATTAGAAGTCCTCCATAGTATTTACGCGAACCTTAATAGGATTTTAGAGCTCTCTAGAGTATTTATGAGAACTTTAGTAGCACTTTGAATCTCTCGGATATTCACCAGAACTTTAATTAGACTTTAAATCCCTCTAATATTCACCAGAACTTTAGTAGCACTCTGAAGCCATCAAAAAATGTCTACCAGAATAGGATTTGGAATGCCCTCCGTGATATTTATCAAAATCTTAGTTGAAGTTTTGTGAAATATCCATCAGAATTCTAGTGAGACTATGATATGAAAGAGCTTGAAGTGATACGGACTTATGCAAGTGAAACACTAGTATTTGTCTAACATATACAGTTTAAAATTTATGATACAAGGAAAATTCACCAATCTCAAACTAAACCTTTTCTCAACGTATATTTTCTTTGAATGTTTCTTCATGAAATTTACATAAAGAAGCAGTAAATATACAATAATAAAAATATTTGCAACAAATGAAAGACTACCACAATCATATAGAAATGATAATATTTTATTTGTACATAAAAAAACATGTAGTGTAAATGAATTTATTTACACTTGCATATTTTCTTGCAAAAGAGGAATCTTCTTGTCCAAAGAATCTGAGCTTTCCTCACTACTTTTTTCATCTTCATCTCCTTTGAATTCTCCATACAATACTGTATAATACCCCATTCCAATCACACTTGCTCCTATCACACTGCACAATTTTTTCATAACATTAAAAAAATCATATAACCAAAATATTTCATATGTGAAAAATGTGAAGGAGAATTAATCCAAGTATTACCTTCCATAATGAAGACTATTAGGAAAGAAGCAAACTCCAAAAGTGGTAGCAAAAGCAACACCAAAAGGCTTAAACTGTGGCACATAAAGTGAACCCTTCATTCTACTCAACCAAATTTGAATATTTGGACGAATCACACCCCCAAATATGCCCTAAAATGATACATAATCATTATCACTTTTTTGTTGTTGGATTAAAAGTTCATATCATATAGATCATCTGCGAAAAAATCCGATATTTACCGTTAGAACAACTAGAATGAGCTCCATGTTATGCTTTAGCTTCCAAGAATTTACATCACTCTCAAATATGCATGACACTATTGCACTAAGAATTGTCCCAAGCAAGGTATAATAAGAAACCATCTTCATTGGTTCTTGATAATGCTTAACAGTTTCTTTCTAGTAGAATGAAGAGAACAGAAAAAATAATTAACATGAATCAAGTTAAAGATTCAAAAGAAAATTTGAAAGAGTGGTTAAAAAAGAATGTACCTGAAAAAAGTTGGCAAGTGAAACTGAGAAAGAAGCAGCAGCAAGCAAAATGCCACCAAAAACCCAAAATTCAGGTGTAGAGGAAAAGACAAAAAGTTGCTTAGTGTATCTAAGATGGTGAGAAGAGGGTCTTATGAGTGGTCCTTTCAAGAATTCAGCTACTATTGCTCCCATTAATGATACTATTACACCTATTACTTGAACTTGGATACCAGAATTTTTCAAATTCAACTTTACCTTCCTAAAAAGAATCAATTAAATAGATCCATCAGTTATAGATTAATTTTTTTTCTTCTATAAACCAGGTATTTTCTGCGTACAACTAGAGATTTAGCACTGCTGCGTACCAGAATTTAGTTAAGTTATATATTAATCTAACAAAATAATTTAAAGAAGAGAAAAATGAATGAAATTTTTGAAGATGAACCTGTGAATGATATTGAGGAGAAAAGTAAAGGTTGGGATCAAGTGGCTCATGGCACATACAAGTATTGGAGAACTGTAACTTAGACCCAGAAATAAAAGTGTCTGAGTCATAGTTATTCTGCAAAATCAATCAATCACAACAAAATAAAATGTTACATACTATAAATATTAATATTCAAAAAGTCTTAGTAATTTTGATTTATAATATTTTTTTGGTTGTTCTTATTAATTTAGACATATATATGTTATTAAATAAAATATTATGATACCTTTTAATCCAAGTAATAAATTATTTTGAACAAGACATAGAGAAAATTTACCCAGTGAAACCCAGTAGCAAGAATCTCAGAAACAAAGAGAAAGTAAAAAGTGGCTTCTCTTTTCTGTGAAAACAAGATTAGGCCTCAAATCAATCATCCATGCAAACAACTTCACGCACATGCGCACAAAAAAAAAATGGTTAGAGATAGAAAAGAGAAAGAAATTTTGTACCTGTTTTGGCGGTTTAATAAAAAGGAAGAAGGAAACAAAACTATAGTGGCCAAAGCATTGGTATAAACAATGAGCACAAATGGACTCATTCCATTTGTTATTGCAGTTTTTGCAAGTATAGTTAGTCCTATAGTGCACCCTTCCATAATCACCATCACTATGAATGGTATCAATTCTGAAGTCCTAATCTTACCCTCCATTTATTTTTGTGTTCCTGAATTGTTGGAGGTTGAATAAGAACCACAAAACACAACAACTAGGCACTGTTTTGAATGAAAAGCAAGTTGGTGTTGGGAATATAAAGAGGAGAAGAACTGTGGGCCATGCATATGTGAGTAACCTTTCATAGAAATGTGAAGCTACTTTGTGAGAGAAGTTGCAACTCGAGTGTCTCTTGTTTATTAAACAATAGACCAAAACATGACGTATCATTGAGTTTTAAATCATTTTATTCTTTTTGTTTTTTGATTTTGAGTTTAGATCTTGTGCACATGTGCTATATAATTAACCTTAGAATAATTAAGGGCCAATAACTTGAAACTTTTAAGTATGTTTGTGAATGGTTTAGTGGTGGACATTGTTTGTGGCTCCACCATTATATGAAATTTTTTGGCGTTTCTGATTTAAGTATCACCTAACCAATGGCGTGTGATTAAGAAAGACTTGATTGGAATCTAGAGAAAATTAATGCTTTTCTATGGAATCTCCTTTGTGTGTGTGAATCTTCTGAGTTTTTCTATGAATCTTATTCAACCTTTTTTTGGTGATGCGCATGACAAATTGGTGGTGGGCCTGTGGGTGAAGCCTCATATGTGATGAGGCTGATAGAGTCAATAGAATTGAGAAAGTAAACTAACAAATTGAGCCCATAACTATTTGTAGTTTTTGTTCCTTCACAATTTGAAAGGTTTTTTAGACCGAGAATAAGACTTAAATTTTTTTCTTTATTCTAAGATTGACAAAACAAAATTCATAAAATTTTCAACTAAAAGGTATTGGAGTCCCTCACAAACTCTTTGTACATTTATAATCATACCCACAATGTGCAAGTAATATATAGTTTTTTAAAATCCTTTAAATTATGAAACATATACACCAAAACTATTTATCAATTTTTTCCTTTAACTCTATTAATGTTTTTCAAACACATTCATATTTATGAGTTTCTTGATTTCAAATCTAAAAACTCATCATTATATACACACACACACAATATATATATATATATATATATATATATATATATATATATATATATATATATATATATATATATATATATATATATATATATATATATATATATATATATATATATATATATATATATATATATATATATATATATATATATATATAAAGAGATGTTGAATATGATGTCTGGGATAAAGTGTACAATCAAGTTGTGACATTTTAACTTATACAAGATGATGAAGCAAAAAAATTAATATAAGAACATACAGAATTGTTAACCCAGTTCGGTGCAAACAACACCTATGTCTTTGAGACTTTCAACCCAAGAAATAAAATTCACTATCAATAGTATTAGTACACTTAGTCTTACATGAACACACCTTATTCATAACATCTTCCTAATACTACCCATGACTTTCTATTTAAGACTCTCCCTAAATATGAGAACCTCTATGACTTTCTCTTAATTACTAACCCTAGTGATCAACTTTAATAAACAACTTAAAGAATGTTGAGTTACAACTCAACTAAACAAATCAGCATGGTGCCTTATGATTTAAATGTAGGCACTACCGTGGTGTACAAGCAACACAAACAAAAGACTCAAATAAAACCCTAACACAAAGAATCTTCAATCAAGCTCGTCATCTTCAAAGTTAGAATGTGTCTCGTTAAATAGAAATTCATAGTTGGGCTTTTCTCCAATTAGTTATTTTTTCTTCACTTTCAGCATTAGAATCAGACCAAGTGGTTGGCAATCCCTTTTTCTATTTCTTTAGAAAAGTAGGACATTCATATTTAATGTGTTCAAACCCTTCACATTCAAAACATTGTGCTCATTTTCCTCGGTTAGGTTTGTAAACATTTTTACTCTTGTTCAGAGGACTGATGTCTATCATCTTGTCTGGGATATTTGTCCTCCATTTTTTGTCCAGTTTCTTTATGGAGTTGTTAAAATTTCTCCCAATAAGGGCTATAGCCTTTAAAAAACTTTCTTCATCTTGATCTTCATCCTCTTCAGTGCTGGACACAAAAGTTATACTTTTGTTCTTCTTTTCAGACTCGTCGTTTAAGGTCATTTCAAAAGTTTGTAAATAACCAATGAGAATCAACTTTGATGTTACTAAGGTCTTGGGCTACTTCAATAATTGTGACTTTCATATCAAATTTCTTAGGAAGAGATCTTAGGATTTTTTTGCCTAAATTTTTTTAGGGTTCTTCTCTCCTAATGCAAAGTAAGTGCTGGCAATGTCACGAATAGAGAATTGTCATACCCCAATTTTGTCCAGGCATTTTAAATTTTTACATTTATCTGACTTTATTTTCACTTTGCATCATATGCATGCATTTCATCCTGCGTAGTGCTTAAAATGTTAGCCAGAATAATTTCTCGGATTTACAGACAGACCAGTCAAACTGAATCTCAACTGTGCGTAAAATTAGTAGACGAAAAATTTCATAACTGAGTTTGCAAACATAAATTATATTATTCTGCGGTTCATGTAGTTTAACCTGGCGTGCTCATTTTATTGATTCGACTATTTTTCGTCGCGTTTTGATCAGTTCGAGCCTTTTAACGGGTCAAAATTTATTTTAAAATCTGACCAAACGTTGTATTCTTTTGAGTCATTTATTTCGCACTAGTCATTTCGATATACTCGATTTATTTTTTTGAGCACTTCAGCGCCTGACTTTTATTTATTTGGAGTCCGTTTATTTTTACATTTTTTGTTTAATTGTTTAGTATAAATAAATAGGATTTTAGTTTTTTTATCTTAATTTTATTTTAATTGTTTAAATTTTATTTAGTTTTAATTAATATTATTTTATTTGGACTCTAAAATAAATATCAGAGACATTATTGATAATTTAGAGTTAACCCTATTTGATATATATATATATATATATATATATATATATATATATATATATATATATATATATATATATATGTGTGTGTGTGTGTGTGTGTGTGTGTGTGTGTGTGTGTGTGTGTGTGTGTGTGTGTGTGTGTGTGTGTGTGTGTGTGTATGTGTGTGTGTGTGTGTGTGTGTGTGTGTGTGTGTGTGTGTGTGTGTGTGTGTGTGTGTGTGTGTGTGTACGCGCGCGCGCGCGTGTGTATATGTGTGTGTATATATATATATATATATATATATATATATATATATATATATATATATATATATATATATATATATATATATATATATATATATATATATATATATATATATATATATATATATATATATATATATATATATGTTAACTTCACTGAAAGAAAAAAACCGGAGACGGAAAGCAGCGGCGAATCTATTTTTATTCTATTTTTATTTGTGTTTGTTTTTAGTTGCAGTTGAAACATATAAAGAAGTTCTTAATTAGATCAAGGAGTCAAAAGTTATGGCATCACAAAGTTTGTTGATTTTAGGCATAAATTGGGCAACTTGCCCTAGTTGCCAAGGCACTTCAAAGTCATGTTTTTGATTAACTTGCAAGCCCTCTTTTTGATAGTTCCAAGCTTTAAATCCAAAAGTATACAACATCAAAGTTGTTCTCCTCCATCTCAGCTTTCTAAGCAACTAAAGAACTCCTCAATTGGAGTTCTACAACTCAATATATGGTTAGATGAACATGGGTGCCAACCCTTGACAAAAGTTGCCCATGTCATGACCAGATCATGCGCAGGCTTGCCTAGACCAGCTTGTTGGACCAATTTTCATGCCCAGTTTTCATCATGATACAAACCTCAAATCAAAATTTTTTAAACATGAAAGTTGTTCATCTATATGTCCTTTTTTCAAAAAGCACAAGACTTCACAATTTGAGTCAAAAACCAAAGAGTTATGATGTGCTAAAGTGAGCTTCCAACCATGTCTTCACCTTGCCACCATGCCAAACATCTTGAACCATGTCTTGTCAAGGCTTTGCAGCATCCAAAACATCAATTCTTGTGCACCAAACCTATCAAGTATGATCCCTAAACTTTCCCAAATAAGCCCACCTTTCCAATGACATACAAAAAGCATGTTTTGACACTGACCCTCTTTTCTTGCTACATTATTCTGCAGGTCATGTCATTGAACTCTGACCCTCTTTTCTTGCTACATTATTCTGCAGGTCATGTCATTGAACTCTGACCCTCTTTTCTTGCTACATTATTCTGCCATAAACAAACAAAAACACATGCCCCAACCATCTGCGCCATAGATAATCTGAGCCACCTCCATTAGGGGTCATTTTCTCTCTTACTCACTTTGACCAAAAACAAAAGCCTTGGGATAAGTTCTGCTTCAAAAAATGGCACAACAATCTGAGATATAAGAAAGAAACCCTAGCAAGAGAGGGGAGGTTTTTTCTGGAGAGGCAGAAACTTTGAACACAAAAATCACTTATTTCTATAAAAAAAAATTGATTCTATCGAATCTCAGTTCTGAGGATTTTTCTTCGATTCTTCCCACTCCATCCATCATCCCTAAGAGTTTGTGTTACACGTGGTGAAAGATTTCACGTGGAAAAGCAGCCATATGAGCTCCATACAGGTAACTTTTCTTCAACCTTCACTCACTTTTTTACTGCTCATTTCTATGTGTGGTTGCCATATTTGGAATGTGGATTTGATATAAAACATGTTTGCACGTTTGTTGTTTCGTTTTGGGTGAGTTTCGGTTTGAGTACCCTTTTTTGTGGCTATGTTTAAGGGTTTTAGAGTGAGCAAATGGAAGAAACAGCGCCATAATCGTGATCAGCGTGAGAAACTGAGTGGAGAGTTGTGGTTGTTGTTGAGTTATGTGTAGTTTCACAGGCAACTCCGGCAGCCGTCGCTGGAGAAGCCGACTGGGGCTAGGGCTCCAGCGTCTTAGTTGTCTTGCTCACGTGTCCCCTAGATATTTTGACTTTCCTGGCTGTCAAATGATATGGCGCAGAGGTGGAGGCCACATCATTTAATGAATCCATTGTGGCCTTTCCTTTTTGTTGGATTCTGATTATTGCTTTTTTAAGATAT